AGTTCTTGATATATCATATTTCACACTTTGATTCAAGTGGGTTATGAACTCCCATTTTTACCCCGTATACAGATTGCAGAATCACATCAGTTACACATCCGTTGATTTACATATTGCCATACTAGTGTCTGTTGTGTTCTGCTGCCTTTCCCATCCTCTACTATCCCCCTCCCCTCCCCTCCCCTCTTCTCTCTCTGCCCCCTCTACTGACATTCATTTGTCCCCCTTGTATTATTTTTCCCTTTCCCCTCACTTCCTCTTGTATGTACTTTTGTATAACTCTGAGGGTCTCCTTCCATTTCCATGCAATTTCCCTTCTCTCTCCCTTTCCCTCCCACCTCTCATCCCTGTTTAATGTTAATCTTCTTCTCATGCTCTTCGACCCTACTCTTCTCTTACACGGAATCTTTTTGACCAATTTATTCCCCCAAAGCACAGATTTTGATGTCTCCCAGAGATGTGAGGAAACGAACGTTGTTATTTAAATCTTGGGACCAGGGGGCGAAGTGGTGCACGCCTGTGATCCCAGAGTCTCAGGGGACTGAGGCGGGAGGATCACAAGTTCAAAGCCAGCCTCCGCCACTTAGACTCTTGTCTCAAAATATAAAAGGGCTGGGGAGGTGGCTCTGGGCTGGAGCCCCGTCGAGTCCTACACTTTAGTTACTTGATGGGAACAAGACTTACCATGCAGTAAGACATTACACAGGACCCAGAGATCTACAGAGCTGATCTTAGACAAGCGTTCCAAGAACACACAACAGGAAAAGGATAGCCGCATCAACAAACGATATCGGGAAAATGGATACCCACCCACAGAAGCACGAAGCAATGCTTACCTCACACACCCATTCAAAATGGATCCAAGATATCAGACCTGAAACTAAGTGTACAAGGAGCTCACATGACTCAATAGTAAACGTACAAATAACCCGACTTTAAAATGGGCAAACGTCTTGAGCAGACATTGTTTCAAAGACATACAAGTAGCCAACAGTTACGTGAAAAGGTGCACAACATCTCTACCATTAGGGAAACACAGACCACAACCCCGGGGAGGTGAAAGTCAGAAAGTCCAAACAACAATAGGGAGGTTCCTCAACATATTAAGAATACAGCTACCTTACGATCCAGCAATCCCACCTCTGCATATACACCCCAGGAAATAAAATCAGTATCTCAAAAAGAAAAACAATTCCATGCATATCTCTTAGATGCTTATTTAAACCACAAGGACCGTAGCGACGAACAACAGGACACATCTCTCATGCAGACACTCTTTGCTTGAAAACTAAATATTTCCAAACCAAAAATCATCTAGATCTTCAACACCTCCATCTACATCTTTAATAAGTCTTTAAACACCATGCGTAAGTCAGCTCAACCACACAGTAAAGATTTTACATGCTACTTCAAGTTCAAGATCGATTCCACCAATAAATATTAAATATTTTATATGAAAACCAATTTATTGGATCATTTCATCATTAAAAATTTAAGTGCTTGGGATTTAGCTCAGTGGTAGAGCGCTTGCTTAGCATGCCTAAAGCCCTGGGTTCCATGCCCAGAACCACACACACACACACACACACACACACACAATCTTGAGACTAAAAGCAATAGTTTATTTTTACTGTCTTATGAAAAGTGTTAAAATTAAAATTAAAAATTGTTAAAATTAAATTAAAAACTGCTCCTATTGAAATATTACATAACATAAAAGGGAAAGAATATTTAAAGGATTATACATTTACACTATAAGGTGCAAATATAAATTACCATGACATTCGTTTGCAGTTAACCAAATAACCCTTACCTGAGTTGCTTTGCATAGCTGAGCTCGATCTCAGTTCTTTCCTTTACAAACTTGATGTATTTCTCAAGAACGTCGATTCCCCACTGTGTGTGTTTTTCTAAGTTGTCAAACTGATCCTGTTTAAGAAAGGAGAGAGAGTTCACAGTCTTCCTCTGTGATGGACATAATTTCAATGGACAATCCTCAATAGTGCTTTGCCACACAGGAAGCAGTACTCAGAGTTTCCATGATCCTTCTTGGATGCCTTTTGGTTGGACAGTTTTAAATCAACATTACCAAATTTGGCTTGAAAATTGCCTGGAGTACTGAGCTCTGGTGGATTCATTCATGCTTTAGAAACATGCTTTTTGGATGTCACTGATGCAAAGGGACCTGCCTCTCTCAGATGCCAGACTACTGACAGGTGACACCCACAGGCACAGCCTCTATAGGAACACTTAAACTGGGACATCTGGGTCGTCATTCCAAAAAGCTGATGGAGTTTGGAGCGAGGAAGTGGGAGTTATAAAAGTCTGCTTTCTTCAAAGAAATACAATGTCTCATGGACTTTATTTATGCAGACACACTGTGTGTCAGGAACTGTGCTTGGAACCCAAAGGAAAAGATGTGCTCCACCTTGCAGAGCGCCTGGGGTTCCTGCTCCGGGGACAGGTCTGCCATGTGCAGAGGCATGTGCATGGCTTAGGTGGCTTGTCCCCAGGGTCCCCAGGGAGGGTGAGTGAGGCATAGGGGATGGGTGGTGCTGGGGCAAGATGAGAGACTGCCCAGGGCCAGGCCACCCTAGGCCTCTGCCGCAGACCCGAGGAGCTCAGACTCTCCAGCAGGCCGGAGCAGGACTTCCAAGAGGGTGGCATGACCACCAACAGCCTGTCCTTGCAGTCCAGAGCAGGGGATGCAGGTGCACAAGGAAGGGTTTTGGAGACGCTGAACAAATAGAGTCCACCAGTGTCAGTGAATGACCAGGTGAGGGAGCAGGGGGCACGTGACGGGGAGGGGCCAGGTGACTCTGCTTCTGTTTTCTGCGATTAGATTGGTCCAGACACGGGGGACCTGCATTTCAGGGTGGAATTAAATGAGCTTTGCCGTCTGGAGCAAAGGACTGGCGCGTCTGGGGACAGGGCGGGGGAAGCAGCTCCACTTGGAGCTCAAGGAGAGGCCGGGGAGGCGCGGATCTGAAGCCACAGCCAAGGACCAGAATGCCAGAGAAGGCAGCTCCGCGCAGATCAGCAGAGCCCAGCCCGGGAAGGGGCCAGAGAGGACGGGGAAGAGAGCCAGGGGGGGCATCAGCACGTCACAGGGAAGAGGGCTTCAAGGAAGGCCAAGACGGGAAGTCGGCTGCTTCCCGAGAGGTGAGAGGGGTCTGGCCCAGCCACACACTGGAGGGACACAGGCCCCCAAACACTTCAGGGCTTCGTCACTTGCCTACCGGTCACAAATCAGCCATGACTGTCACACAAAACGGGGAGGGCTCGAATCAATCGATACCCAGCTACTGCGTCACCGCATGCATCCCGCGTGTGTGCGACCCGACGGCACGTTCAACGGCACAGTTCAGGTTGTGCCCCCCAGCGTGGTGTCCTCCCTCCGTCCCTCCCTTTTTCCTCTTTCTCTCTTCCGGGGATTAAACCCAGGGCACTTTACCACCGAGCCGCATCCCCAGCCCTTTTTATTTTTTAATTTGGGACAGGGTCTCACTAAGTTGCTTAGGGCTTGCTAAGTTGTTGAGGCTGGCCTTGAAGTGTGTTTTCAATAAAGTCATCAGTATTCGAGGCCACTCTGCAACCTATGCCAAAGGACAGGTCCACATGTGACAGGTGCGCCTCACTGTCGGCCCGGCTTGGTTCCTTTAGGCCACTTTACTGAGGTATGACTGACGTTAAAAAGTTAGTGGTTAGGGCTGGGGATGTGGCTCAAGCGGTAGCGTGCTCGCCTGGCATGCGTGCGGCCCGGGTTCGAGCCTCAGCACCACATACAAAGATGTTGTGTCCGCCGAGAACTAAAATAAATAAATATTAAAATTCTCTAAAAAAAAAAAAAAGTTAGTGGTGCCCACCTGCAGTCCTAGCACTCAGGAGGCCGAGGCAGGAGGGCCATTTGTGCCCAGGAAACCAGCCTGGGCAACAGAGCAAGGTCCTGTCTATTAAAAAAAGGCTGTGTGTGTCTTCTGTGTCCAGCTCAACGCCCTGAGGCATCTGGAGGTGAGCGCATGTGAGACCATCACCACGATCACCGCCAGGGACACCGCACATAGGACCCAGCCCTTTGTGCATTTTAGATATACACTGCAGGGTATTTTGCTTGTTGTTTGCTTTCTGATGGTGCTGGGATGGACCTCAGGGCCTCACACAGGCCAGGCAGGCCCCAGAGATGCCCCCCAGCCCCAGAACAGCCCTCGGCAGCCTGGCGCTGCGCGGCCCTGCAGCGTGCTTCCCACCTCCAGCCCTGACCTCAGGCCCACTATTGGGCTTCTGGACTCCAGTTTCCATTCAACGCTGTGCAGAGTGTGAAATGAATAGATTTTCTGTGATTCAAACTGGGGTGGAGAGGAGAGGACAGGAGGCAAAAGCAAAGCCACTGCCTCCCAAACTTGAGACATCTTTTGAAAAGAAATGATTTCCTTGACCCAGCTCTGACCTCGGCCCACAGAACAGCTGGAGGAACATCACCTAGTGACTGGAGGCCTCACCTTACTAAAATGCTTCCCTGATGGGAAATAGTCACCGTAAAATGCCTGAAATGATTGACACGCTGGGCTTGGTGGCGCATGGCTGTAATCCCAGTGACTGGAGGCTGAGGCAGGAGGATCATAAGTTTGAGACCAACCTCAGCAACTTAGCAAGGCCTTGTCTCAAAATAAAAAATAATTAAAAGAGGGGCTGTAGCTTGGTGGTAGAGCACTTGCCTACGTGAGGCCCTGGGTTCGATTCTCAGCACCACATAAAAATAGATGAAATGAAGGTCCATTGACAACTAAAAAATAATAATAATAATAATTAAAAGAAAAAAAAAAAAAAGCCAAGCTGGGCGTGGTGACCCACACCTACAATTCCAACAACTCGGAGGTTGACGCAGGAGAACTGCAAGTACCAGGCCAGTCCCGGTAACTTAGCAAGACCCTGTCTCAAAATTTGAAAAAAGGGCTGGGCCTGGGGCTGGGGCTCAGTGGTAGAGCATTTGCCTGGCTTGCCTGAGGCCTGGGTTTGATCCCCTGCACCACACAAAAAAATCATCATCATCATCATAAAAATAGATATAAAAGGGCTGGGGAGATACAGTCAGTGGTAGAGTCCCCCCTGGGTTCAATCCCCAGGACCCTCCCCACCAGAGCAAGGGTGAGGGGACAAAGTTCTCAGTGATTCTTGGTCCTCTGTGATACACTCCACAGCCACCTAGATTCCGTTTCAAGAAACGCCGCTCAGGAAAGATTATTTATTTATGTTATCTCTAAGACAAGCGTTGTTGAGCAAATGACCAGTGTAAACAAGGCCGTGGGTCTCTTTAAACTACTTGAGAGAACAAATACACAAACGGCTCAAGCAATGGCCACAAATCATTCCCAGCCACTGGGAGTGGGGCTTCTCCACGGCGCTCCGCTCCGGCCCCTTCCTCCTTGGTGCACAGCCGCCCTATCTACTTCAGAACCAAGACCCAGGCCTCTGCGCCAGAGTCTGCTCTCGGCCATCGCCCCTCACCTCCAGGGCGATTGTCACAGGGACCGGTGACCCTGCGAAGGCTTGTGAGCGCCTCTGCTCCTGGATGTCCCTCTTGCCCTGGTCACCTCCAGACGCGTTCTCCCTGACTACATACAGGTGTATGGGATACGGCGACAACAAGCTTTGGACGCCCAAGCCCTAAAAGCAAACCCGACAACAACAAAGCCCTCTGCTGTTGGAACTGCGTCCACTCCAAGATGACTGACGGCAGGCCAGCAGTGTTTTCAACCAAGTCATCAGGATTCCAGGCCACTCTGCAAGCTACACCAAAGGACGGGTCCAAATGAGACAGAAGATCTGAATAATAAAAACCCTCAATAGTAAGTGAGGGCCTGCGGCCACCGCTGAGCTCCTGTTATGCTGGATCAGCACAGCTCTGCCGGCGCCACGCCCTGCTGGTACCAACTCAGGGACACGCAGCGTGGACATTTTTACAGCAGCTGAAAGAAAATTCGTAACAGATGAAAAACTAATCAACCCACTTACATTCTTGACCCAAATGTGGGAAACTTCATGGAAAAAAGTTCCAAATCTTTAAAAGACTCCTTGTGAGCAACTAGTACAAACGGGCCTTTAAAAAGTGCCTTTGACACTTTGGGAATGGTGCCCACCCTGTGGCAGCAGCTCAAGAGCCCCTGGCTTTTTTCTTTTGGTGCTGGGGATTGAACCCAGGGTGCTCTACTCTACCCCAATGTCCTTTTGACTTTAATTTTGAGACAAGATCTCACTAAGTTCCTGAGGCTGGCTTTGAACCTGCAGTCCTTCTTCCTCAGCCTCCAGAATCGCTGGGATTACAAGTGTGTGTCACCATGCCCCATCTTGGTCTGCCTTCTTAAAAGTCATCGAAGGATGGGGCTGGGGATGTGGCTCAAGTGGTAGCGCGCTCGCCTGGCATGCGTGCGGCCCGGGTTCGATCCTCAGCACCACATACAAACAATGATGCCGTCCCCGCCGAAAACTAAAAAAAATAAAATATATAAAAAAAAAAAGTCATCGAAGGCTCCGAAGAGCTTTCATTTGAATTATAGTCACTAATACTTATCCTATCAGAAATTAAAGATTTTAAAAATCTGTTAATTCATCTGTATAGTAATAAACCCATCACATGCTAAGTAAATGGTGTAAATTTTATTTTTAATTTTTTTAAAAACTATACTTTCAAGCTGGGCAAGGTGGTCCACACCTGTAATCCCAGAGAGGGGGGAGGGGGCTGAGGCAGGAGGATCACACGTTCCAGGCCTGCCTTGGCCACTCAGCAAGACCCTCAGCAAATTAGCGAGGCCTTGTCTCAAAATAAAAAGCACCGTGGATGAAGCTCTGTAGAAGAGCACCCTTGGGTTCATCCCCCAGGATAAATATATAAATAAAATACAAAAATTCAAAAAAATGAAGAAATGTACTTAAAAACAAAAACAAGCAAACAAACTAAAATAGTGGGAAAGCGACCGTGTTCATGTTGCGGATCTCTTTATGCCTGGCTCAGTAGGAGGCAGCTGGTCCTCATTGATGCTTCTGCATTAATCTAATGGTTCCTTACTCAGGTTGAAGTATATGGAAACATCCGGCTCCACACAATCAGGTAGTTGGAAAACAGGCGAATTTCAAAGACCCTTTTTAGATAATTGCAGGTTTTCTCTGTTGTTCCACCTGGAAGCCGAGTTGTGGGAGGAGATGGAACCTGAAGGTGCTCTTCCTGCTCCCTCGCAGTCAGGTCCAGCCGCCCACCCTGCACTCTGAGTAGATCTTTACCTGGGATTGCACAACGTTATTGATGGGTCATCTAGGAAATCTACCCCACTGATGCATGCAGATCTCCTAAGTCTCGACATGTTTCATTACAAAATACCAAGAAAAAAAAATCACATGTGTTTACATCACTGTCTCATCTGTCCTGAGTCTAAACATTTGGAAGCTGTTACACTCACAGTGCAAACACAAAATTTCCCCAAATTCTAATTTATGCTCATTCAGGTGGGCGCTCTGGCATGCATAAAGTACTTTATGCATATTTCCTACCTTCTCACACATATTGTTAGAGATGTATATTCAAGTCTGGGGACAAAATAAAATTAACAATCACTGCTTTATCGATGACTTTTTTTTGAGATGGGGTCCTTGCAATGTTGCCTAGACTGGCCTTGGACTCTGAGGTTCAAGCCATCCTTCTGCTGCAGACTCCCCAGTAGCTGGGACCACAGTCCCATGGGCCACTCTGCTTGGCTCTATCAAAGGCATTTTAAAATAAAACTGAAAAATGTTACCAGCTCCTGGTGAGGACTGCAGGAGCCACGGTACAATCCAGAGCTGCAGCCTCGAGTCACGCAAAGGCCCACGGTCTCACCCACCTTCTCTCCCGCGCCCTCAGTGCAAGGGTCAACCAAGTGGAAAAGACAGATGGTCACGAAAACAGCTCTGACCCGCGGACTCCCTGAGAGGGCTTCAGGAGCCTCCAGAGGCCCAGTGACCACACTTTGAGAACCACTGCCATATGACGTACACTCTTAAAACTTCTACTTAAAAGTTGCCCATTTCCAAAGTCTAAGATTAAGCACTCTAATACCTAATGGAACAGAATGCTTAATTTATACACACACACCGTGCCTGCCCACTCTCAACCATTAATCCTAAAATCCTCAGGAGGACTGCAAATGGATGTTTCCAAGTTCCTGGTAACAACCTGATGGTGCCCTTCAAAAACCTCTCTAAAGCCTTCTCTGGACCTCATACTTGACCTCCAGGTCACCTTGTTCTTCAACTCAAACCAACCAAAGATCTGTGCCAGGAGCGTTCAGCTAGGAGAGGCTGGATAAGCAAAAAAGACCCAGGAAGAAGCAGCAATTGTGTTAACTGCTGGATTCAGATGACTTTCAAGTCTGGCTTTAGGTACAGGGCCGGAGTGAAGCTCCTTCACAAACTAAGGATCGAATCATAGAAGGTGCAGATCACACCATTGGTTTAGAATTAGAATTAGAATTCTTATAGAATCATGAAGTTTAATGAAAATGAATTCTGTCTTCACACCCCATCGGCAGTACTAAAGTTGGTCTCTCTGGGTCAGTAGATGATGAGGACTCTTGATTACTAGGTTTGATTTTTTTTTTTCAAATTATGCAAAAGAGTTGACAAGGAAACTGCATTCAGAAAAGTCATATCTTTTTGAGATGTGGAGACCAAGTCATTCATAAGGAAGTTTTTCTTCAAAGTATATGTCAACTTTTTTAGGCAGGAAGAACAGGGTCTGGCTAAGTCACTAGGGCTGGCCTTGAACTTGCAATCCTCCTGCCTCAGCCTCCCAAGTGCCTGGTTTATAGGCGTGCGCCACTGCACCCTGCTCCAGGTCAACTTTGAAAATATCTCTTTCTCAGGGTGTAGCTCAGGGGTAGAGCACTCGCTTACACCCAGGGTGAGGCCCAGGGTTCAATGCACAGCCCCGTAAAAACAAAACAAAACTAATACGGTACTTCCTATAATTGTGAAGTGTACTCAGCCAACATTAATTCAAAATCCCTGGGAGGAGCCAACCTGCAGAGGAGCTCTGAGGCTAAAGTCACCTCTGCATATGCAGCACAGAGTCAAGGACCAGGGACTCCGAGGTCAGTTTCCCCACAAGCACATCCTCCCCAGCAGCTACTCACTCCCTGAAGGGATTACCCCCTCCACATTTCTGGTTGCACTCTGCCTGTGCTACCTGTACTTCTATTTTAGGATACTCTGATCTCTGATAAATTCACTTTCCCAAGGACTTGAGCACATGGTTCCCCCTTAAATGTCTCTATTTAAATGGGGTCCCTTGGATGACATGACTGGCATTAGCTTCCTCCACCTTTGAGGGGGAAATTGGCAGAAGACATAGATTAACCGAAGAGTAACTGTTTAAAAAAAAAAAAAAATTTAAGTGTTTTTTGCAATTGCTTAGCATGCACAAGGCCCTGGGATGGATCCCCAGCGCTGCAAAGAGGGAAAAAACAAAGGAAGAAAACAGAAGGCTGTCGCTGGCTGCCCAGCGGGGATCTGCGCTCCCCTCCAGTGGCCCACACTCAAGCTAAGGCGACAGATTCTAGCTGGCAAGGGACGGCCACGAAGCAGCTCTAAGACTGTAGTAAAAAGTTTCGCATTTAGGTTTCTTTGTTACAAGTAGCCACTGAGCCAGGTTTCTGCTGTGGAAAGGAAAATAGGAAGGAGTTACTCTGTGTCCCAGCTTCTTTCCGGCGGTGGGAACAGAAGAACAAGACCAGAAGCAAACAGAAAGAATGTGTAGAGACAGATGGGCATGGAAGTGCATTTTTGTATTTTTATAACAATAATTATACTGTGGAGAGGGAACAGGAGGCTGGGGTTAGATGCGCAGTGAAGGGAGTTTGCAGGGAGGAGCCTGCCCGGAGGAAGGCAGGGGCTGCACCCGGAGACGGAGCCGGGGACCTGAACAGCAGCGCGGGGCTGGACGGGGCGGGGTGCCAGTGGGGAGAGCCGAGGAGCCGCAGTGGGACACTGTGCTTTAAGAAGCAGCAACACACCTGCCGTCTATTTCAGTGTTCTCTGAATACCTCAGTAACCTCCAGTCCCCAACCTGTTCCTCTGGATACAACAAAAACAACAAACAAAAACAAACAGCTGTAACCGCTGCACGCTGGCGAAAGAGATAGGAAGGAATACGATTTTTCAGGGCAGGAAGGGGGAGGTCATTTCTTTATCATTATAAATGTAGGGCAGTTTACCACTGAGCCACACTCCCAGCCCTCTTTATTTTTTATTTTGAGACAGTCTTGCTAAGTTGCTGAGGCTGGCCTGTGATCCTCCTGCCTCAGCCTCCTGAGTAACTGGGATTATAGGGTGCATCACCACACCTGGCTTCAAACAAACAAACAAACAAACCCACACAACTTTTTTAAGAGCACTTTCTTTTCTTTTTTCATTAAAAAAAAAAAAAAAAAAATGGGGGGGGGGGGCGAGTTTACTGGGGATGGGACCCAGGGCTTCCTGCCTGCGAGGCTCTCTACCAACAAGTCATACCCCTGGCTCCAAACTGATTTCTATTAGGGCAGTTTTTATTAGTCTGTTTAAAAGGTCACTCCTCCAGAAAGACATTGTCAAATGTCTTAAATAGAAGAGGAAACGTATTAAGGACGATGAGGCTATAAAAATTAGTCTCAGAAAGATGAGTCTCACTTGTTGCTGTCTATGGAGTCTGACAAAAGAAACGAGGCACAGAAAGCAAAATCTTGCTCTTTATAATAATTTAAAGACCTAACTTTCACTGGAACCGATCACAAGAGGGCTTAATCAAGTCGTGACCGAAAGTAAGATGCACATCTGTAACACAAACGTCCAGCACCCCTGGCGACTGGCACGGACCTGGAAGTGGGGTGTATACTTGCTCACTTCCTGGTTCCCATGAGGAGGCTGGACCGCGAGGCCATCCAAACAGGACAGTCTATTTCCTGAGCCGGCCCAGTGCCACCCCCCTCCACAGCCTGGAGAGCTGAGCACCTGCTGGGCTGGCTGCAGGAGGTTTTCCCCCCCAGCCCCCCCAAACAAGTTCAAGATGATCCCAGGGAGAAAGAGAAGGGGAACCCGTCAAATACCAGGGAATCAGAAGGCTGGAGGAGAGGCCGGGGCGCAGGGTAAGGTAAGGCCAAGGCCAAGCCAGATTTAAGTCCCGACTTACTTCTAAACTCTATCATATTTCCAGGTGGAGGGAGGAAGGGCGACAAAATACTTCAGGGCAAAAAATGTTTAGCCTAGTTGACACTGAGGCAAAGGACTTCCACCAAACGCTCGCCAATGGCGGGGTTCTAGGGTTCTGGCGTCTTGTCTGTCTGCAGGGTGGGGGCGGAACCCAGGGCTTTCACACGGGTAGGGAGGTGCTCTGCCACCAGCTCTCCCCTGGGCCCTGAGCTTCCAGTTTTGAGTAAGTCAAGCAAGGACAGGTGACAGAAGAGTCTCCATGCCACTGCCCAGTTGGCCATCTCCGCCAAGGACCTAGGATCACATGGGGACAGCTGCCACAGTGAGGACTGCTAGGAAGCCATGTGTGTCCCTGTGGTGGGCTGGGGGGCTGCAGAGACGGAGACAGAAGGGGGCCCAAGACAGCACTTGCAGAAAACGAGGTACCCGTGGGCGTCCCCCCGACTGGCTCAAGTTCTCAGTCAGACGAGCCTGTGCAGGTGGTTCTGGAAGACATCCCTTGGGACAGACACTGCAGACACCCATTGGCCACCCGTCCTCCCTACACAGAGCACCTGTCTGATTACGAGGTCACTTTTCCATGTCTATTGCAGGGAGGACATGGACACGTGACAAAAGCCTGGCTGACCAGAGGCAGGGGATGTCTACTGGGCTAATACTGAGGGTGAGGTTTTCCTCTCTAGTAAGTCTCCCGGGACTTTTGTTTGTTTGTTTATTTTTACATTTTTGTTGATAGTAGGGATTGAACCCAAGGGTGCTCTACCACTGAGCTACATTTTTATAATTTTTTTTACTTTGAGACAGGGCCTGGCTAAGCTGCTGAGGCTGGCCTCCAACTTGTGATCCTCCCACCTCAGCCTCCTGAGTTGCTGGGATTACAGACGTGCACTGCCCTGCCTGGCTAAGCTTCTCTTCTTTACTCGACGTGGCTGCCTGTGCTGCTTGGAATTTCTGAACCGTCCTGCAACCTTGAGGGGGAAGCATCCTCATGGGCTGGGGATGGCAGAGCCGGAGCATGGAAAGCACCCAACTTTTCCATGATGTTATTACTGCACTGTGACACCGACCCAACCCTCTGGCCCCTGGGCTCCCCAAACACGCACGACACCTGGTTGTTCAAGCCACTTTTCAGTGGATCTCGGTTGTGACCCGAACACCTCTGTCTCCACCATTCTTACTGGGCAGTGACCAGGAGCCAAGACCCTGGGCAGCAGTCGAGGCTTCAAGGGTTTAAATAAAAGACTTGCTGGACCCCAGCGAGACAGGGGATTAGGAGAAGTTCCTTCCGAGGAAGTGAGTCTATGCAGAGGAGGACGGGAGGTAAAAGTCACCCAGCAACACAGAGGGAAAGGGGGACCGAGGTGGGGGGGGCTCAAGCCCAAGAAATAGAGGCGCCCTGTGTCCAGATAAAGGGGAAAAGCAGTGGGTGGGGACAGGTGGGGACAGATGTCTCAAGGTCACAGCCAGGACCCCACAGGACTGTGGAGCAGTGCTTAACAGCCCGGCCACCTGCTTTCCTAAGACTTCTTTGGAACTTAAAAAAATTTTTTTTTCTTTTAATTTAAAAAAATGCTTTTGAGGGTCAGGGGTGGTGGCTCAGCGGTAGAGCGCTCGCCTAGCACGTGTGAGGGGCCCTGGGTTCAATCCTCAGCACCACACAAATGTAAAATAAAAATATCGTGTCCACTTAAACCTAAAAAATAAACATTTTTAAGATAAAATAAATAATCATGTCTTAAAAAAATACTTTTGGTGTTGGGGGTGGAAGCCAGGGCCTGTCCCACTGGGCTATGCCCCCAGCCCCAGGCTGTGCTTTAAAATCATTTAATGAAGTTTAGAGAAATGATCAATGACTCTGGAAAGGGTTGGTTTGTTATCTCTTTGTCTGTGTTCTTGTTGTTTCACAATATGAAACCATCATCGCGTTGACGGTCATTTTCTCCCCCAGCCCCATAGCCCAGCCCATCAGAAGCCCTGAATCCCATCTTCCCAACACTCCCAAGAAGAGGGTGCAACATAAGGCCTTTGGGCTTGGGCAGAAGCCTCAGTTTTCTCACCTGAAAAATGGGGAAATAGACTTTCTGCCTGTTGCGTTCTTAAAATAAACCAGTGGCCCAGTGTACATACACGTGGGGTCTGGTTATCAAGCGTAATATTATGAACTATGATCTACTCTAGTTCTGCATTCCAAAAATGACCAATGTCTTCCTGTTGAAATTCTCTGAAGGGGAATTAAGATGAGAGAGCAGACTCAACAGGAAGAAGGAACAAGCAGACACAAAGGCTGGGCTTCAGAATCATTTATCGGGTGAACACTGGGAGGGGAGCCGTGCGACCGTACTAATGCAAGCCCACGGTCCGTCTATTGCAAATAAAAAAAATTCCTGCCAGGTGTGGTGACGCGTGCCTGTAATCCCAGTGACTCAGGAGGCCGAGGCAGCAGGATGGCGAGTTCAAGGCCAGTGTGGGAACCTTAGCAAGACGCCATCTCAGAACAGAACACCAGAGCTCGGGGTGCAGCTCGGGGGCCAGCACCTGCCTCGCAGGAGCATGGGGGTGGGCGGGTTCCAACCCTGCGAGCAGGAGGGACAGAAAGGCCACCCAAGAGAGAAGAAGGGCGGCGCTGGGGATGGAACCGAGACAGCCCTGAGCATCGGGGCAAGTGATCCACGGCTCCTCAGCCTCTTGGTGGGACCAGGGGCCGGCAGCAGAAGACGGGAGGCCGCCATGCCCGTCCATTCTGTTGGCATCACGTCCCCCAAATGGGAAAAACGGTGCATTTTTTTCCTGAAATTTCACTAGAGCTGAAAAAAGAGGGGCTGGGGCATGGCTCAGGGAGAGCACTTGCCAGGGAGGCCCCAGTGCCACCCCAGCCCAGGGGGCTGTGATCAGAGGGGAGCCTCGGGAGGGTCTCCAGCCTGGGGGCCTGTGGCTATTTCTGTCCTCGTCCATCCACAGGCACATTTTCGCAGACTGTTTTTAAGGCTCCATAATTATTTCATTGTTGGCTTAGGACGGGCTGATGGGAAGGTCTTCAGGATAAGAGGCACTTAAGGTCACCTGAGCCTCTGCCAACCAGAGATAAAAACAAAGAGAAAACATCTATGAGGGAAACACTTCAACCCATAGGATGATCCATCCCATGAAGTATTGAACTACTACTTTTTCCTTGATTGATGTACTTCCTTTTCTGTCTATATATATATATATATATATATATATATATATATATAGAACCTAATTCAGAAAATGGGCATTGCTTAGTACCCAAGTATGGATTGATTATTGATTGCAGAAAAGATTTCACACTGGGCCGGGGTGGGGGGCACTTATGTTGTTGTTGGGGGGAGCCCTGGGGATTAACCCAGGGGTGCTCTATCACTGAGCCATATCCCGGCCCTTTTTATATTGTATTTTGAGACAGGGTCTTGTCAAGTTACTGAGGCTGGCCTCGAACCTTAATCCTCCTGCCTCAGCCTCCTGAGTTGGTGTGCACCAAACAAAATGCTCATGGAGGTTAGTCACAATAAGCAACAAGTGCTTTTTCTACTCTATGACCTAAACAACCACCCATCCACTCATCCAACTAAATATTTCACTGAACACCTACTGTGTGCTAGCACTGCTCTAGGAACTGAGGACCCACAGCAAACAGAAGATACAAATTCTGCCTTCTCATGGAGTTGGTGTACTACTCGTAGGTCTTTATTGTACAAAGCTATAAAGAAATCTAAGATGAGTTTAGAATGGATTTGTTCGCTTTTCCATGAGAACAACAGTGTTCTCCCTAAATGTGGACATTTCATAGCCCCTTGATTCCTATAACAACCAGTTATCAAGACTTGTCCCACGAGGCCGGCGGCCCCGGGGCCTCCCCACTGGGTGTCCAGCTCCCCTCCTGCCCAGGTCTTTTCTAGAGAGGGCGGGTCCACCACCGAACACCACCGTCTGCAAAACAGGAAAACTACCCACCAAAAAAGCCACTGCACTAATCTGCAGTGAAAATTGCTCGGTTGAGCATTTCTTTGCTCATTTATAAAATTAACCTTTTTCAGATACGGTCATCGGCCTTTGGAATTTCCTCTCGAAACCAATCTCGCTGTTTTGCATAATCTCTTCATGTTAAGGTAATTAGCTGGGCCACATTTTGAGCAAATGTTCTTCCTAGTTTTGAATTTTTCTGTGTGACTGCTAAGGACTGAATGTTCACATCCTCCCCGAGTCGCAGGTTCAAACCTAACCCCAGCGGGTGGGATCTGGAGTGGGCTTTGGGGAGGTGAGTGGGTCAGGAGGGTAGAGCCTCCTGAATGGCATTAGCCCCCCACAGTAAAGGTCCCTGAGCCCCCTTCCCCGGACCAACAAGTGTCCCTCACCAGACACCAAAGCTGCCGGAGAAACAAAGGCCCGTTGTTTATAAGCCTTTGGTTCTCTGTATTCTATGAAAAGACTTAGAAAAGCAACTTTTGACACACAGACAAATCGATGTTTGGTGACCCTAGAGGGCTAGGACTGTGAGGGTCCCCATCTCGTCTTGTCCTTCTCTGTGCGGTCCAGGTGTTCTTCAACAAGCATTTTTTGCAGGGCTGGGGATATAGAGTCCTTGCCCGGCATGCTCGAGGACAAACAAAACAAAAGCAAACCACTTTGTGTGATTATTAATTTAGCACAATATTAACCCAAGTCATGACTTATTACTTTAAAGACACCCAAGGAAATGATATAAAGAAAGGTCTACTGTGTGCCGAGCACAGTGGCCTGTCATCCCAGCTTCTCTGGAGGCTGAGGCAGGAGGATCACGAGTTCGAGGCCAGCCTGGACAATTTATCGGGGCCCTGTCTCAAGGTAAATATAAAGAGCTAGGGATATGGCTCAGCGGTAGAGCACCCTTGGGCTCAATCCCCAGTAACCCCCTCAAAAAAACCCAAATCTATTATGGAAATAACATCTACCCTTACTTTACCACCATTTCTGTCTAGACAATAATTCCTGATAAAATAGCACAAATGTTGCCAGTTTAGTCAAGTTTGATGTTTTTACTAAAAGGAAAAACGTCTCTATTGTCGTGTCACTGAACGTGGAAGGATTCTCTCCCTGGGTACCAACTTCTGGGTACCTAAGAGCCACGTGCTCCTGACATAGCTGCCTCCTTCAGCAGGCCTAAGTCGCTGCATCCTGCGGGCCAGGGAAGCTGGCGCTGCCAGGCGTCCTTGGTATACACTTGCTGGATGATGAGCAGGTCGATGGAGCATCTCACTGGTGACTGTGTGGCCCGGGGCCAGTGTCAGTGTGGTTCACATACGTGGTCCACGGTCCGGGCTTGGGGGCAGCGTGTGCCAGGGGCCGCGTGTGCCAGGGAGCTGGGTGCAACTCTGAGACAGCAGCCGCCGGCTCTCAGGGAGCTGTTAAAATGCAAGATGGAGAGCGCTCTCCATACAGAAGATGGTGATCTCCTTCCTAATCTTCAGTCACCATGAAGTAGAAGCCGTCCAAGTCCCAGAGCAGAGAAGTCTCCAGAAGATCTCTAGCTCGTGGCTGCCTTCCCTAGCTGCTCATGAGCCTGCAATCCCAGCCCTAGTGGGTTCCTCTCATCACTTATACATGGGCGGCCTCCTCTGCTTCCTGACCGAAAGCTCTTCAGGTTTTAAACATTAACAGAGAGTTCAAAGACAGCTCACCAGGCTCGGCTTTATTTTCCAGAAGTTGTAAATCATTTCTGATTTCATCTTACCTCAATGCTGAAAGCGCCTCTTTCTGTTGCAGATTTTCCCCTGCACATGCTGATGTAACCAACACAGGAATACTCTGTTTTAAAAATGAACCCAAACAGGTAAACTAAGAGGACACACTGCTAGTCCCACTGTGGGGCTGGGCGAGCTCTGTAGGTCCTGCAGCTGACACCCTGAAGTCACACTGCCTGTGTCCCAGGCTCACTGTTCCCACCTAACTGGTGGCGGGAAGTCCCTCTGTACTTAGTGCCACTGCTCTGTACACGTGAAGATGGTTCTGGTGCTGGAAGTGTACATTTGTGGTAGAGCACGTGTTTAGGATGCATGAGATAGACCCTGGGTTTGAGGTCCAGCAATTCGGGGAATAAAAGGTAAAACTGGCAAGTTATGTGTTATCTATATTTTACCACAGTTTTTAAAAAGGAAAGAAGAAGACGGGTGTGACGGTGTGTGCCTGTAATCTCAGCTACTCAGGAGGCTGAGGCAGGAGGATCAAAAGTTCAAGGCCAGCCCTCAGCCACTTGGGGGGCTCTCATCTAAAAATTTTAAAATAAAACAGCCTGGGGATGTGGCTCAGTGGTAGAGAGTTTGCTTAGTGCCTGAGGCCCTGGGTTCAATCCCCAGCATCAAACACACACGCCCAAAGTAAGAGTATTAGGAGAGACCAGGAAGATGGCCCGACCACACAAGGCCATTGAAAGGAACGTGGAGGGCTGGGGATGTGGCTCAAGCGGTAGCGCGCTCGCCTGGTATGCGTGCGGCCCAGGTTCGATCCTCAGCACCACGTACAAACAAAGATGTTGTGTCTGCCGAAAAAAAACTAAAATAAATAAATAAATATTAAAAAAAAAAAAAAAAAA